GTGAGTAGATAGATAGATGGATAGATGAAAATGATTGATTGATCGCTTGATTGATTGATTGATTGATTGGTTGATTTTTAGGATGATGCTGCTGCAGCGGATAAATTTAAAGACTCGGTGTTATCCAACATCAGTACTTCAACAACAGTAAACAAGGTTTATTTAGTAATATATATATATGTATGTATGTATCTCTAACTATCGAATCTATATTTTTACTAAAAAATCGTCCTAATAAGAATTTTTATTTCTAAGGTATACCTAAATAAATTCAGGGGTGTATATTTTCTGGGGGCAAAATATTAATTGCTAAATCGGGGAAAATAAATGAGTTTTAGGGAAACTATTTAAATTTTCGGGTGAGAAGTATTAACTAGGATGAAAACTTGTCTCTCGATGTCCTATTTTGATGATACTATATTCTTAAATATTTCCATATTCTGGTTCAAAACTAATTTCTAACTTGTTACTTCATGACCTAAACTTAGAGCTCCGGTAGGAACATAGGCGAGGATATATGCTGGTCTTTAAATATATATTATGGTATTGCGTGGATTGTACGTAGAGTTTGGAGCGTGAATTTTAGGTTGAGTTTGGAGCGTGGATTGAAGGTTAAGTTTGGAGCGTGGATTTTAGGTTGAGTTTAGAGCGTTGATTGTAGGTTGAGTTTGGAGCGTGGAGAGTAGGTTGAGTTTAGAGCGTGGATTGTAGGTTGAGTTTGGAGCGTGGAGAGTAGGTTGAGTTTAGAGCGTGGATTGTAGGTTGAGTTTGGAGCGTGGATAGCCATGTGTCCCTGAAATTTGATTCGATCTGATTTATTTGAGTAATGAGCAACCTAGCGACAAATATAACATTATTTAATTCTTTTGGTCGAATTTATTTTAAATCTTTTGGTTTTATTGTTTCCTTCCATTTGCAGAGGACGACAAGTTTTAAGATATTTGGAATAATTTGTGATATTTGAATATTCTGCAGGTTCTAGAAGCTTCTCATAAGAGAATGGTCGACTCTGTTACAAGGGTGGCTAAAAAGCAGTTTAAGGTAAACTATAGTTTATACCTAACTCCAACTGAACTTTAATAAATAAATAAAAATGAAAAAGAAAAAATGAAACTACAAGTAACATTAAATGCCTGCAATCATCTTTTAACGCTGTATTTCCCTGGAGAATGAGGTTTTTTACCTGGTTATAATAAACATGAACAACAGCTGGATCAAAAAGCTGCATCATCAATCCACGATATAACTTTTCAGACAAATTTTACATCTCTGTATGGAACACAATTAGTAACATCTTTTATACTTAATTTAAAATTTATGGCCCAAGATACCAAATTAAAGAAAAGTAAAAGATTGATTGATTGATTGATTGATTGATTGATTGGTTGATTTTTAGGATGATGCTGCTGCAGCGGATAAATTTAAAGACTCGGTGTTATCCAACATCAGTACTTCAACAACAGCAAACAAGGTTTATTTAGTTTAAAAGGGAGTGTCTGGCTTGACAAAGTAATTAAGCTGAGAATGCAGTATTGTAATGAAATATTTTTTTTAATCATTTGAGTACTAAATATGTTTGTACGGTGTATGTATTTTTATTCAGAAAGGGTGAAATTTCAATCATTAAAATTCTTCCATATTGTCTCACTCTATCTAACCTTGATTCAGGTTTAATATTCTATTTTGATACAGGTTCAATATTCAACCTTGATACAGGTTTGATATTCAACCCTGATCCAGGTTCAATATTCAACCCTGATACAGCTTTAATATTTAACCTTGCTATTACATGAATTGTGTAAAGGCTCTAGAAACCGCGGATTTGGTTGTTGAAGCAGTTGTTGAAAATATGGGACTCAAGCAGAAACTTTTCAGGTTTTAATCAAAAATATTTAAATATTCCTTTGAATTTTTTCTACTATTTTTAATGCAAATTCCCCTTAAATCTCTTCAAGTAGCGATTAAATGAATAAGAATNACATGGAGTTAATAACCTTTCGGTGAATTATTTAAGTCTCAATAGGCCTTATAGCATTGTCACTCAAAAATCAGGATTTTACGCTTTGCTAAACTTGTTAACTAAAATGTCCAAAGCTGAGCCGTCTTAAAAGATATTCAACACATTTTTTTTAGTGTGTAATTTTAACATCAAAGGATATCTTTTTATGAAAACCAGTTTGGCCAAGCAAGAGGAGTTGAGGAGAAAATTCTACCAGAAACAGTTTGTTAAAATTATTTTTATCTTTTCAACCTGCTGAAAACTATTAACTTACTGATATTAAGGGAGTATGACGCGATAGCTCCAGCTAAAACTATATTTGCATCCAACACTTCCTCTCTTCCCATTGCTGAGATTGCTTCTGCTACCAACCGTCTGGACAGGTATATAGACTACCAACCGTCTGGACAGGTATATAGACTACCAACCGTCTGGACAGGTATATATAGACTACCAACCGTTTAAACAGGTATACCAACCGTTTAAACAGGTATATAGATTAAAGCCTACCTGCTAAAGATTAGACTGGTATTAAGACTATCAATCGTTTAGATTGATATTTAGGCCACTCGTTAAGAGACTACCAACAATTTTGACAGGCTTAGACTACTATCCATTAAAAAGGGTGTATAGACTACCAACCGTTAAGACCGGTGTATAGACTACCAATCGTTCTAACATGTATATAGACTACTAGCTGAAGGGCCCGACGTTGCCTGTAGAAAAAAAGTTTCGAAAAAAAACCACTTTTCAGCCACCCTTGAGTGTCCCAACAAATTTCAGCCCAACCGGTCCAGCCGTTTCTGGCTATAGGCAGCATATATATATATATATAATATGAATGTCTTGTTTTATAATATAGACATTAGACAATACATATCGTTTAAAGTATTATTTAGACTACAAACCAGGTATTTGCACTCTGAGGCTTATACAGGGATTGGGGACTCAATCTTTTTAAATTTTATATTGATGGCCATAATGGAAAAAGAAATACAAAAAAAAAAATTCTTCACTCCCCTTAGTCCCCCTGTCCCCCTCTGTAATCTGTATGTACTATGTATACGCCCCTGTAAAGACTGTTAATCACTTCAAAGGTATTTATTCAAAAGTTTATATCTAAATTGATGAAAGAAAATATATTTCAGGTTCGGTGGTCTACATTTCTTCAACCCTGTACCTGTTATGAAACTTCTTGAAGTTATTAGGATAGTTCTTCATCAATCAATCAAATATCAATCGATCAATCATTCATCAAACCAATGAATTAATTAAATAATCCATAATTAAACCACTTTCATTCGAGTTTTTGTACTAATTTAAAAAGCAAGTAAAACTTATTGATTTTGATGATTAAAGGGAGTGTCTGGCTAGACAAGGTAGTTGAGAACACAGTATTGTAGAGAATGTTTTTAGGATTCATTTGAGAACTATGAGTCGTTTTTACGGTGCATATTTGTTCAGTAAAAGCGCATTCTGGAGGGATGATCACTTTTTTAAAATTATTCAAATACGACAATGAAAAATATTACAAAAATTCTACAGTGTTCTAATTTTATGTATTTTTTCATCATTAAATTTAATTACTTATTCTAAATGGCTGATATCTTTAAATTTTTCATATGACGTCTTTTCAATAAAAAAATTTCAGGAAATCTACAGAAAATGTTTGTGAACATTGAGACATTACAGAAACCAATAACTTGATAAGATGAACCTGTTTCTAAACATCTAATTAGTTCGCTGCAGAATAATTTTACAATTTTTCGCAGTCCTCATTGAATATTTATTTAAAAACCAATTCTCAAAAGTCAAAATCATCCCAAAATGAACAATCTATGAGAATTTTAAAGATTGAATTTGCGCTCTTGCTGAAAAATTATGCACCAATAACACATCTGATAGGACTCAAATAAATCCTAAATTCTCTTCAATACTGTGTTCTCAGCTTAACTATCTTGTCTGGTCAGACACTTCCTTTAAGAATCATTGTTGTATTTATTGATGACAAATTAGGATTCCTGAAACATCTGATGAAACCTTTAATTCAATGCTTGCTTGGGGGAAGGCAATGAAGAAGGTGAGTCTGCTCCAGTCCCTTTAAATGAGTTTCATTAGAAAACTGTTAACAGTCCCTTTAATCTTTTAAATTTTATGCCATTTTTTTCTTTCTTCTTTTTTTCTTTTTAATTTGGTTTTATTTGTTTAGGTGACTGTTGACTGTAAAGATACCCCCGGGTTTATCGTGAACCGTCTCCTAGTCCCCTACCTCATGGAGGCTATCAGAATGGTGGAAAGGGGAGATGCAAGTGTCAAGTAAACTCGAATTTTGTATTTTCATCTATCAACTTTCTAGATTAATTTTGGCCTTTAAATATTTCTTTTTCTTGATTTTATTATATACTGAAGAATTATGCTCAAATTGGTTGACATTGTTCACCATTTTTTACTTTTGTATTAAATTGATATGTTTTGCTTTAAATCGATTGAATTTTATTTAAATAGATTAAAATTATTTTAAATTGATTTAAATTTTTTTAAATTGATTTAAATTATTTTAAATTGTTTTAAATTGTTTTAAATTGATTCAAATTAATTCAAATTGAATTAAATTGAATTAAATTGATTTAAATTGATTTAAATTGATTTAAATTGATTTAAATTGATTTAAATTGATTTAAATTGTTTTAAATTGTTTTAAATTGATTTAAATTGATTTAAATTGATTTAAATTGTTTTAAATTGATTTAAATTGTTTTAAATTGATTTAAATTGTTTTAAATTAATTTAAATTGATTTAAATTGATTTAAATTGTTTTAAATTGATTTAAATTGATTTAAATTGTTATAAATTGATTTAAATTGTTTTAAATTGATTTAAATTGTTTTAAATTTTTTATATTGATTTAAATTGTTTTAAATTGTTTTAAATTGATTTAAATTGATTTAAATTATTTTAAATCGTTTTAAATTGATTTAAATTGTTTTAAATTGATTTAAATTGTTTTAATTTGTTTTTAATTGTTTTAAATTGATTTAAAATGTTTTAAATTGATTTAAATTGTTTTAAATTGATTTAAATTGATTTAAATTGATTTCAATCGATTTAAATTTAAACCTATTTAAGTTGATTAAAGTTGATTTAAATTGAATAAAATTGATCATGTTCTAATTGATTCAAGTAGATTTGAATTTAATTAAATTGATTTAAATTGAATTAAATTGATTTAAATTGAATTGAATTGATTTAAATTGAATTAAATTAATTTATATTGAATTAAATTGATTTAAATTGAATTAAATTGATTTAAATTGAATTAAATTGAGTTAATTTGAAATATTTGTTTTAATTGATTTGATTTGATTCGACCTTAGTTGATTTAATTTGATTTTAATTGATTTTAGTTGATTTTTGTTGATTTCATTGATTTCAGTTAATTTCAGATGATTTCAGTTGATTTCAATTTATTTTTTGTTTGCATTATTTTTATTGATTTAAATTAATCTGAATTGAATTGTTCTGATTCAAATTAATCTGAATTGATTTAAATTGATTTGAATTGATTTAAATTGATTTGAATTGATTTAAACTGATTTGAATTGATTTAAATTGATTTTAATTGATTTAAATTGATTAAAATGGATTTTTAATTGATTTGAATTGATTTGAATTGATTTAAATTGATTTTTGATTGATTTAAATTGATTTTTAATTGATTTTAAATTGATTTAAATTGAAAATATAATTCAGAGATGTAGACACTGCTATGAAGTTAGGAGCAGGTCATCCAATGGGACCTTTTGAGTTGGCAGATTATGTTGGACTTGGTAAATATTAACTATCAGATAGTGTTCACTCAACAGTACTATCTGTTCAATACAATTCTATTTCCCTTGAACAACAAAAAAAAATATGCATCAAAATAAAAAGTGCGCAGGGTGTTTAGTAAGATGAAAAGAATGTTTGAATAATTTTACAACTTAGCTAAAAATCCATTTCAAATTGATGCGGATCTGGATCCGGATCCTGGATTCACACTGGAAAAAATAGATCCGGATTCTGATCCAGGTCATGAACAATAAACAAACATCTCTTGAAGATTCTCCTTTTTTCTTAAACAAAGGAATTTTTTTTAAATCGTATTACCAAGGTGAAATGTTGGAAGTGCATCAGCCTTGCCACTGGGCTGCTATACAGTATGTTTCACTTTTATTCTATCCTATTATAAAGCTTGGTAACTAACCACCACTACCCTAGGATGATCATTTTAGGTATTATATCCAATAGTTCAAAGAAGGTTTTTTTGGGAGAATTTTTCTTGCCTGGTTCATTGGATCCATAATTTACCAGATTCTTAATTCAAAATAGAACTGGGATGTATATGTATAGCAGTAACCCGTCCATAGGCTGATGATGAAGGATTCTTCTAAGGCCTTCTACGAAAGTAGAACCTAACCATTACAAGATTTAAAAATAATTTTTCTTCCCTATTTTTGCTTATTTTTATGCAAAAACTTTATTAACCTTTTAGAGATAAGGACATTTTTAATAATCTCTCTTTTTTCAACAGTTTAGATTTTGGTTTTGAGAACCAAAGTTTTTTTTTGCAAATTTTGACCCTTAAATCCGGATCCGGGAAGCCAATAATCGCAGATCCAGCGCTGGTTCCGGATCCTAAGCACTGCTTAAATCGAATCCAATTTAGTAAACAGATATAAAGTGTTTTGTTTTTAGATACAAACAAGTTCATCATGGACGGGTGGAGTGAACGTTATCCTGATGAAACTCTGTTTAGGTCAGTTTAGCATATACTACAGTGACGAACCAGAAAACTCTAGAATAGGAAGACGACATAGAGCCATACTTAAGTGCATTGATGTTGTTACAAAGCAAATAGCTTTACTAGTTAGTTATTAAATAACTTATTTATTGGAATTGGTCTGTCTACAGTACACTGCGCAACTGCCGTGTCTTATGTTCTTTGGACTATTTAAAGTCATACAACTTGAGTCTAAAACCAAAAGTCGACTTTCTATTTCAGAGTTTTCTGGTTATCACTGTAGGTTTTTTATAGAACAGGACACTCATTTTAATAAATTGGACAGTTCACGTATAGATAGGACAAATGAAGTAGTTGGATTTATAGGACATTTTAAATTGTTGGATTTTTAGGACATTTCAAATAGTTTAGTTTAGAGGACATTTCAAATTAGTTTAGTTTAGAGGACATTTCACATAGTCTAGTTTAGAGGACANAGATGATATATCAAAGCAATGCAGGTATTAGGTAAAGTAAAGAGAGATGAAGGAAGCTAAAGTAAGCAGCATAATTGATCATAAAACTTCTTGCTTCAAATAATTTTAATTAGTTTTAGATTTATTTGTTTAGGACAAGTGAACTTTTAAACAAGATGGTTGCTGAGAATAAGTTGGGTCGAAAGAGTGGAGAAGGATTTCATAAATATTAAACCTCAACCTGAACCTGACTCAGGGTCCAACCTGAACCTAACTCAGTGTCCAACCTAAACCTGACTCAGGGTCCAACTTGAACCTGACTCAGGGTCCAACCTGAACCTGACTAAGAGTTCAACCTGAACTGAACTTAACTCAGAGTCCAACCTGAACCTGACTCAACGTCCAACATGAATCAATTGAAATGTACTGAGCTAAATTCATAATATGTGTACTTTGTAATATTTCATTTTGCGTCTACCTTCTTGATAGCACTATAATGGATAGAGAACTTTAAAAAACTCTACAGAGTACAAATTATGAATTGTACACGGTGCACTGTAGTGTACACTCTACACAGTGTACAGTGTACACACTGAGCATAGGTCTTTACATTTAGTACTTTAAAATAAATAAAATGAAACTAGACTTTTAGAAACTATATTTTCAGAATAAAGTTGTAAAAATGGAGTATAGAGTAGTGGATGGATTAAAGGAAGAACTAAGAATAAAAAGGCAGAAATATGATCTTAAATATGTTTCTTGTATTTTTCAATGAAAATTGGCTTAATTTTCAGGGTTTTCATTCGAATGAAGTTCTCTTACAGAGCTTATGTTTAAAACATGATTTAAAGAAGTTTAAGACTATTATGGTGAATGGTTATCAATGACCATCACATGATAATGGCAAGTGGGGGAGCTCAGTCCTATTTTAATTATGCAGGTCGTGGTACTTTGTCTTTAAGTTGATTTTTAATTAAAATACTGGGCTCCATTTATGATTGCAAAAATCTGAATATTTCATGTTGTATTCACTGCCCAGCCACGGGTTATCCCACGAAACTTGACGGTAGGGACATTGCCTATAGGACATGATACATGACTGTAGGCTGATTGATCATAAGAATAATAATAGAAAGACTTTTTAAGGTCATCTCTGAAATAATTTGTTGCAATCGTTTGTCGACCTGCTTTTACATGTATGATTTTTTAAACAACAATCATGAAAATCCCCTAATTTTGGCATTTTGATTGTCAATATTACCGAGATATTAAGAATTTCGTTCAGTTCTATTTATTAATAAAAATCATCATTATCAAAATCTGAAGTAGATTTTTCTTATCTTAAAAATTCCAGGATTAGGGAAATTCTCTGATTATTAACCCTAACAGGTAGTTCTGTATTGTCAAATTTCGTCGGACACCCTGTACTTAAAAGTTTGAGTCTGGTGGTGCCTAAATATATAATCTAATGTGATGAGGGGGTAAATATCAGACATTTTATAGTTTGGATATGGTTGCTTAATCTCATTCGTGCTTAATTGTGTGTGTAAAAATCTTCAAAGTGTGATAATATTAAACCCCCCTTTCTTCCCCTTCAGCTATGAAAAAAAATCTTGTGAGTCTGTGTAAAATCAATAATCATTTGTCACCATTTTAAAATATTCCCTTTATAATGCAATTAGGAACTCGCCAGTCTCCAGTAATAATAGTTTAAATCTTAAATCTCGTATTCAACAATCATTCGCGGAAAATATAAATATATTTAAATAAAAGCACTATTTTATGGGCATCCTTCCCCCTTTACCTACGCTCCTGAGAGGTGGGGAATATTTATTTTTCCCGTCCCTCATAATTTTAAAGAATTATTGCATATAAGATAAGATAAGATAAGATAAAGTTTATTGCTAAAATAAATGTATCTGTATACAGATAGAGATATTACCTTGGGAACCCTGATTGCTTGGAAACGAAGTATTTAAAAGATTCAATCTATACAACTAAACCAAAGTAAGAACATTCCCCTGGTTCTTACAAGTTCTCCAATCTAAATTTGTGGCAAATCGGATAAAGGGGTTCCTGAGTTATGCTCGGACATACAAACAAACAGAGATTACTACTTTATAGTTATAGATTACTGGGTCCTTTGCGTTTGGACACTTTTATTTTTGATATATTTAATCATGTTTATTTGTGCGCGTAGAGAAGATGCTGCCGCGCACATGGACGAAATAAAAAACATTTCATCCAATCCAACATTATTACCAGCCAAGGATCTAGGTTTAGGAGATCCAGGCAACTGCAAGGTGAATTTTGGTTTAGAGAAATTAAAGAATTTTAACTTAATTGTTTCCCCATCTGCATTTTCCCTTTTTAAATTATCGAACAATAACAAAAATAAATTAGCAGATTTATCAACATTTTTCGTGGATTTTTAAGAATTGAAATTTTTTAACTGTAACCATTTGGCATGGGATTGGTCAATAATTTTTGGGTTTTAAAATTTTATATTTCTATTTTAATTGTGAGATTCTCTTCTATTTATGTTGTCAAATTTATTTATAAAATCTGTTTGATTTTGTTTAAATTTGATTGAACTGATTTGATTAATTTGATTAATTGTTTTAAGTTTGATATTAGGTGTGTCAGGAATTACAGAATGAATTTACTAAGAATCCCGGAGGAAAACCTCCAAGAAATATCGGACTCATCAGTGAGTTCCCCTTTTATGTTTTTTTAATTCAAATGATTCGAATTATTGGATACTTACATTATACATATCTTACCAAAAAAAAAATTTTATTTTAATTATTTTTGTCATCATAATTTCCTACTTCATTTTTTTATTCTCTTTTGTTGACTGTTCCTTCTGGTAGTTTGGAAAAAGAATGATTTTTTTGAAACGAGTTCACAGTTTAGATATCCTTTACACGTACCAAGGATCCATTTTATTTTAATAAAAATTCAAAAGTTGGATCATGGATCGGGAAAAAGTGGATTCAAACATATAATCCAAAAACAGATCCCTAACAAAAGCCAAATTCACTCCAAAAAAAATTTACCCTTGTTTTTAAATAATTTTTAGAATATACCTGTATCTGGATCCGGATTTCGTATCAAGGGGTGTATCTATAAAAAACTGCCTCAAATAAATTGTTTCCAAAATGAACCCCAGGACAAATGCTGTATGTATTATAGATAAAAAAATTGTTTTCCAAATAAGACAAAAATGATGAAGACAAATCTATTGCTTAGATAAAAAATGGCGGTGGAGGTATTTTCACAAAACGCGCGCAACAGTTTTATTGTAGGTTATAAAAAACCACTCTATCATTGGAGTGGGTAACAAAACTTTGAAAACAAAAAGGCCCAGTGTAAAAATAACGCCCAATGTAACAAACCCCTCTATAAACAGAATGAATAATATCGCAACAAAACATCCAAAAACGTCTGAATTAATGTGTGATTATCATAAATTTAAGTGTTAGTTTGTTTTCAAGGAAAATCCGCAATTTTTCGATTTAAATTTTATTTCAGTTTCAGTTGTCTGGAATTCTACGAATAAAAGTCATGGCCAGACTTTTTCCATTTTTTTATCAGAACGAAATTCGTAGAATAAGGACTGTGATCATTGATAGACAGAAGAATAAATACAGACCCAAGAGGTTTATACATTGTTTCTTTTCAGCTTTTAATATGTTTTCTTTCGGATTTTGGACTTTTTGTTGCATTGTGCGTTTTTTTGGGGGGGTTTTTCATGCACACTCTTTATTACAAAAGAAAATTGTCTCCGTTAGATTTATTGTGATTAATAATAAATAATGTTTTGATTTGGTTCAGTTGCTGCTGGTATTGGAGGACTAGCTGTAGCTATCAGTGCTGTGTGTGTTCCTTTTGTAACTCCAGCTTTAAGGTTTTGTGCTACAATTACTCCATAGACAGAATATTAAACAGATAATTTTAAGATAAGATATTGATAAACACAATTTCAAGTAGGTGGGACGGGCTAGGGATTGTTTAGTTTGGGCCTGAGCACCAGGGTCACTGGACCCATTCTATGAGTTTACTGTAAGAACTTTTCTCACTCCAAAATATACTGCAGCTGTAAAACTTATTTCTGTAAAAAGTATTTTTTGAAATGTATTCCCTTTGAATATCTTTCTTCAAGATTTATTGCCTTTAGGATATTTTCCTTTAAAATGTCTTCCTGTTAAATTTCTTCTTCTAAAATGTCCTCCTTTGTTTTCTCTAAAAATTTCTTTTAAAATATTTTCTTTTAAAATGCCCTGATGTGACTTGTCTGTGTATTTAATGATTCATGTCGAGGTTCTTTCCGTCAAATCTCCTGTCTTTAAAATGACCGTCACAAAATATCAGTTTTTTTCAATAATTTTATTTTAATTCATTTTTGAAATATAAATTGTTTCTAGAAGAATATGTTTACCGTATGTTCCTGCTACAGATATACAGGTAAAATTTATTAGTTGAAACCCAGATCAATTCTAATTCTTATCAGAACAAGATTTACCAGAAGTTCCATTGCCGCTGCAAAAAGACAAACATATTTTAGTCATAAATGACCGGCCACTTTATAGGCCCGGCTGAGTGTTTTATCGACCGACTTTGATGGCCTAATGTTTGCCCAGCTGTCAGCTGACCAGTGACCACTTTGACCCAGTTTTACTTGTAAATATATTTGAGCTCACTATTCCTAAAGAGCCAAACATTAAGGCAGCAAAATATTCTCATATGATACCGGACATTATAGTAAACCTGGCCCCCTTAGAGATTGGTTCCAAGGGATACATTTAAATATTTGATATTTCATAATATTCTCAGAATTGTTTTACATTTGATGCAATTTAAACGACGATTAGTTGGCCGCCAGGGGTGTCTGCTCTCGATGTTTCTGCATGATTACAGATGGCAGAGACACCTAGCGGACAAAAAAAAATCGTCGTTTTATGTGCATTGTATATTAAACAAACAAAAAATATTATGAAGCATCAACTATATACGATTGCGTTGGGAAAAAACTGTAATGATAGTTTGAATGGTTTTTTTTGAAATTAATTGTTTTTTTTAACGATTATCGAATATTATGTCGAATATTGCAACTTTCTAAATTTGTATGGACGCTACGTTCTTCAGTATCAGCCGTTTTTAACAATTTTCTCCTTATAGATGCAACAACTATATAGAAGTGAGATTTGTAGCAATCAATGTTTTTGACGTAAGCATAAACCCATTTCATTTTTCGCGAACACTCCCTTTAATTTAAGATAAAATACCGCCTCAACCTTATCCCACCTAAACACTATACCACTAACTATTTGATTTAAATGGATAAAAAGAAATTGTTTATTTTATTTAGGTTTCAAATGTATTAAAAGCTTTGAGCAGTAGATCTGGAACAATTCTAGATATAGGTAATACATACTAGTTCTAGATATAGGTAATACATACTAGTTCTAGATATAGGTAATACATACTAGTTCTAGATATAGGTAATACATACTAGTTCTAGATATAGGTAATACATACTAGTTCTAGATATAGGTAATACATACTAGTTCTAGATATAGGTAATACATACTAGTTCTAGATATAGGTAATACATACTAGTTCTAGATATAGGTAATACATACTAGTTCTAGATATAGGTAATACATACTAGTTCTAGATATAGGTAATACATACTAGTTCTAGATATAGGTAATACATACTAGTTCTAGATATAGGTAATACATACTAGTTCTAGATATAGGTAATACATACTAGTTCTAGATATAGGTAATACATACTAGTTCTAGATATAGGTAATACATACTAGTTCTAGATATAGGTAATACATACTAGTTCTAGATATAGGTAATACATACTAGTTCTAGATATAGGTAATACATACTAGTTCTAGATATAGGTAATACATACTAGTTCTAGATATAGGTAATACATACTAGTTCTAGATATAGGTAATACATACTAGTTCTAGATATAGGTAATACATACTAGTTCTAGATATAGGTAATACATACTAGTTCTAGATATAGGTAATACATACTAGTTCTAGATATAGGTAATACATACTAGTTCTAGATATAGGTAATACATACTAGTTCTAGATATAGGTAATACATACTAGTTCTAGATATAGGTAATACATACTAGTTCTAGATATAGGTAATACATACTAGTTCTAGATATAGGTAATACATACTAGTTCTAGATATAGGTAATACATACTAGTTCTAGATATAGGTAATACATACTAGTTCTAGATATAGGTAATACATACTAGTTCTAGATATAGGTAATNGCTAGTTTACTATAGTAGGTAAAGGTATATAGTTAAACCCTTGCTAGTTTACTATAGTAGGTAAAGGTATATAGTTAAACCCTTGGCTAGTTTACTATAGTAGGTAAAGGTATATAGTTAAACCCTTGCTAGTTTACTATAGTAGGTAAAGGTATGAAGTTAAACCCTGGCTATTTTACTTTAATAGGTAAAGTTATTTAGTTAAAACACCTGAGCTGGAAACTTTAGAATGATGGATATCGGGATTAATGCTTAATCCACTCTTTTTCCTAATCTCCAGATTAAATATTGCTTGTTCTCCTCATGAATTTAATCTCCAGATTAATTAACAGATCGGGATTAAGGATATCACATTTTAAAGCTTTCAGCTCTGGCTAGTTTACTATAGTAGGTAAAGGTATATAGGTAAACCCCTGGCTAGTTTACTATAGTAGGTAAAGGTATATAGTTAAAAACTTGGCTATGTATGTAGGTAAAGTAGGTAAAGGAAATCTTTGCCTACAGAATCTACAGTAAGAATTATAATCTTTAAATTCAACGTTTTCAATATTTGTTCTTTTTTTGACATTTTCTGAAATATTTTTAAATTCTAGGTTTCGAGCACTAAGGGAGGGATTATCTAAAGAAACTGGATTTTTCCGAGCTGACTTGTGGAAACATAACTTGAAGGAATACGACAATATTGTAATTTTCGGAGTAGAACAGATGGTAATATACAGTGCTTAGGATCCGAATCCTTAGGATCTGCAACATTTTGGCTTCCTGGATCCGGATCTGAAAAAATATGCGGATCCACGGATCCAGATCCAAGGGCAAAATATCAACCAAAAACTGCAAAAAAAAAACTTTACTCTCAAAACTCAAAACTGAACTGTTGAAAAAAAGAGATGTGCTTCTCGCTGAGTTGTTGCATAAAAATAAGTAAAAAAAATTATTCGAAAATTCTTCTTCTGTTCAAAAATCAGTAAATAAATGTTCATGATCTAGATCCTTATCTGGATCCTTTTTTTCCAGTGCGGATCCAGGATCCGGATACTAATCCAAATTGGCCCTAAGCACTAATATATTTATTTTTTAAAGGATTTGGTACTTATTTTTAATTTCTGAGTCCAGAGTTTAGTAAATAGTTGACTAAATCTTTGATGTCTGCCATGTTCTTGCTGGAATACTATAGATTATTATTGATTTATGATTAGATATTATTATAGATTATTATAGATTATTATAGATTATTATAGATGGTAGATTTGGAAAAGAAAATGGTAAAAGAAGTTAAGAAGGATACATTGATAGTAGCCTGTAGGTTTAAATTTCCAGGTAAAGAAAATTCTGAAATTCTGAAATTGGAAAAATATTTCTTTTTACTTGTTAATCTATGTTGAACTGTAGTCTGTAACCAGGGAGTAAGGAAGAGAAGGGAAATATAATTGACGCGGTTCGCCCTACCATATGTTTATGCATGCTTTGCAGACGGTACTTCATTTGTAAAAGAAATATTTGTCTGATGTACAATTACCGCGTATACAATAACCTATTCTGAATATTTGTTGTACAAATGGAGTACCGTCTACAAAGCATGTATATTGTATAATCATATGGTAGGGCGTACCGCGTCAGTTGTATCTCCCTTCTCTTCCTTACTCCCTGTCTGTAACCCTGGGACAATTTGATTTTTTTTTCAAGATTAACCAAGACGTATAAAAAATTGTTCCAATAAAAAAAAAACATTTTTAATTTTTTTAAATGGGTCAGCGCAAGCACTTAAAAAATGAAGAAACACTAAGTGAGGTCGATTTTTCAATTTTTTCGTAACATGTCTAAAGTTGCACCTCTAACTACTGAATATTGCCCAGGTGTTGTTGTTTTGAAATTGCGAAAATTGGTTAATGTAGGGACAAAAAATACTATTTTTGGAGGACTTGGGCAAATTTGCGCTAAAAATTTCGTTTTTTTTCCAATAACTTTCCAATTTGTAACCGATTTTTATGATTTTAACATTTTTGAATTCAGTGCTTCCCAAATCCACATATTTTGGAAGAAACAAAATATTTTTGCTTGCAGTAGAAATTTATTATTTACAGAAACGTGATGCGCTGCATCAGAGAAATTATTTCTTTATTTTTTTTGCATTTTTACTATTGAAGTTTTTACTATTGAAGTTTTTACTATTGAAGTTTTTACTATTGAAGTTTTTACTATTGAAGTTTTTACTATTGAAGTTTTTAAGATACTTGCTGAAAGGATCTGAACATTTTTATCAAAAAAGTGCCAAATAGAAGCTAGATAATAGATAACGGTTTGGATGACGGGTCACATTTAAATACATTGTCACACATTTCAATTAGCTAAATATAGTTTGCATATTATCAAATCAATCTATATATATATATCATTATTTTTGTTAAAAAAATTCTTACAGTTTGCTTGTATAAAATTATTAAAAATGTTGTCAAGTAAAATTGTATCAGGAATTGAAAGAACCTTTCAGGCCAAGGTGGTGTCTCTCTTGAGAGCCTAAAAATCCTGAGCGTTTATAAAACGGATGAAAATGATGTCCAACTCTCTCTAGTTAATTTCACCTGGTTTTTAATATATTTGTTTAGAGCTTAAACCTATAAAAGAGATTGGGGAGGGGGTGGATACAGTCTGGACTTACAAGGTTAAACTCTAAAATTGTCCTCAGAAAACTTGTTTTCCTGCTCATGAATAAAATGTGATTTAAGTGACCCTCCATTTATAGAGTGGCATGTCCGATTTACAATATTACCCGGCTTTTAAAAGCTTTGTATACTAAAGAATGAATGAGATATTCTTAGTTTATAATTGGTTGTTTTCACTTGTGGTTTCTCTATATAAGGAACTAGCTGGAGTGCCCGGCGTTGCCCGTGGAATAAAAAAACGAATTTTGAAGAGAAAAAAATCTACAAAAAATTGCCTTAGAGTTCCCTCAAAAAGTTTCAGTCCATTCGGTCCAGCCGTTTGGCCAGCTTTAGCGGACATATATATATGAGCGACGAGCTTTATATTATATATTTGCAGATTTCTTGCCACCGAAACAATTTAAGAAATTGTCACATTGTGAGAATTACCAGGAAATTATTGTAGCATTGTGAATCGAAGGTTGCTCTCTATAAATGGGTCGAGTCACTTGAAATTATTACGACAATCTAATAATTATGTTTAACCCTAGGTGAGCAGATAAGAAGAATTAAACCTTTATACCTTTATATGTATAGTGACCTTATTGTAGTGAATGAATAAAAATTGAATTTTCATTAATTACTGTAGACTTGCAAGAAAGCGAATAATTTTAAAAACATTTATTAAACACTTACATTTACATTGAACATTTAGATAGTTATACAGAAAACTTATAAATTAGATAGATTACATAATTCCTTATATTGTTAATATTACAGATACAATTAATATATTGAGTAAAGTTAAGAGGAAAGCCCTAACAATAGGACGGGCGTTCTCCTTATAGATACGTGTCAGGTACATTATAAGGCCACTGAGTAGTGTTGTCATGTAGTTTAATCAAGATTTAGTGTTGTAGTGTTAATTCAACATGAACTTGAATAGAAGGTTCATGGGTTAGATGTTATAGTTAGTTACAATGTGTGCATGTATAAATGCATATTGTTGAATTTAGCAAATGTGTGCTTTGTCGTTGGTTGTTCAGAGAACTAAGTTTATAATTTAGTTTCTCCCAGTTTGCTGTTCCATCTGTTGATGTTGTTAAAAGATGATTTATCAATGATACCGAAGTCATCAAAGAGTTTGTAGAACTCAATAAAAGCTTCTTTGACTTGATCCATCTGATCTGTTCCTTCCTCCAGGTTTATGTCAAGCTGGAAATATAGTAATTGTTGAAGACCTTTCCATATTTCTGAATTTATTCCTTTATGTTATGTTTTCCTGTACTGACCACATAACATGGTTTAGAGTTTTTAAAAAAATCAACTCGAAACCTTTTTTAATTAAAAATTTTAGCTTTTTTTATTTCCAACAAATTAGAAGTATAGTCGTAAACAGAAGGAGAGTGTCAAATTCATTGCAATATTACGAGTATAACTTTGTGACCTTGTAGCTTCTTTAGTGTTGATTTTACACGATTACACAGAAGAAAAAGGGCACATTACGGTTCTTTTCTGTAGCTCTTTCATAAGAAGAGTTATTGAAAGGCAAAATGACGAAAGATTTTTCAAATCCCATTTTATTAAAAACGTCTTTTCATAATATTTGTCTAAATCTATTTCTAAAAAAATGTTAAATTTTAGTTAATTGAGGACTATGCCAACTGAAATTTAAAAAAGTGTTATTAAACCTGTTTGATCATATCCCGGATAGTTTGAGTTTGATGAGGTTGAAGTATAGTAGTTGTAGCAATATCATCCTCTTCACAAACTACTTCATCGTCTTCATACTCAGGGATTGCCTTGATACAATGTTACTTAGTTAACTGGGACCTTGATACAGGGTTACTTAGCTAACTTGGACCTTAATACAGGGTTACTTGCTTACTAGAACCTTGATACAGGGTTACTTAGTTTACTCAGACCTTGATACAAGGTTACTTAGTTAACTGGGACCTTGATACAAGGTTACATGAGGTTAACTCACCTGTTTAAACAATGAAACATGAGGTTAACCCACCTGATTGATCAATGATACATGAGGTTGCCCCATCTGTTTAATCAATGATACATGAGGTTGACCCACCTGTTTAATCAATGATACAAGAGGTTGACCCGCCTGTTTGATCAATGATACATGAGGTTGACCCACCTGTTTAATCAATGCTACATGATGTTGACCCATCTGTTTAATTAATGATACATGAGGTTGAACCATCTGCTGAATCAATGAAACATGAGGTTAACCCACCTATTTAAACAATGAAAATGAGGTTGACCCACCTGTTTGATCAATGATACATGAGGTTGACCCATCTGTTTAATTAATGATACATGAGGTTGAACCATCTGCTGAATCAATGAAACATGAGGTTAACCCACCTATTTAAACAATGAAAATGAGGTTGACCCACCTGTTTGATCAATGATACATGAGGTTGACCCACCTATTTAAACAATGAAAATGAGGTTGACTCATCTGTTAAATCAATTATAGATGAGGTTAACCCATCTGTTTATTCAATGATACCTAAGGTTGACCCATCTGTTTAATCTATGATGCATGAGGTTGACCCACCTGTTTAATCAATGATACACGATGTTAACCCACCTCTTTAATCTATGATACATGAGGTTGACCCATCTGTTAAATCAATAATAAATGAGATTGACCCACCTGTTGTTTTGCTTTGCGCAATGCATTCCCAACATCATTGTCAATTGCAGAGTTCACAACAACAGACAATGATCTTCCTCTCCCTGATATAAATAACTAATAGGTAAACCCAGATCATGTTACATGTTGTGCCGTTAAATCCACTTTGAGGATAGTGTCAATGCAATTCTTTCTATTGCAACGTTGCATCAACGCCACAAATAGTGTGATCCCTCATCGAATAGAGGTTGACCCTAATCCTTGCTGGGTATTTCCAAACCATGAAACGCTGGGGGGTCAACTTGCCCCCCCCCCCTAAATCCCATGGTTAATGTCCAAATATGACAAATGATACATCATTAAAAAAAACTCTTATGCTCTACTTTTAGAATCTGCAAAAAATTGCAAATGTGCAATAACTGTGTCTTTTTTTGCAAAATCCAGTAATATATTAAAAATGTTGGAAGAATAAAAATGTCCAAAAAATGACAAATTGTACATTTTTGAAAAGCACTTGACCATGGCATTTCAAATATGCAAAAAAAATAACCTGAAGTGTAATGTGCAAATTTCTTTTGACGGGTTGTTTACAAATAATTAGTAACAATTTTTTTGCAAAACTTATGCCGTATGGCTTTCCAAAAAGCTAAAAATTATCAAAATCTGACAACTGAAAGTGAGTTAAAACAAAGATTTGGTTTGTTACAGGAAAATTTATTCATGCACACTGCCGGAGGACTCAGGCAGTTAATATAAAAGCCCACTAAAGGGAGGGTTATGGTTATTTAGAAAAAAAAAATTTCAACAGCCTGAGAGGCTGAGACCAATACCTTTTGAGTTATGTAAAAAAACTACAGAAGGGGGGTCAAACCCCCCCCCCCGCAGGAATAGTGTTAAATATGATAATACAAGACGCTTTATCCATGTTAAGGGTTGGAAAGTCAACGTGGAATCTACGAAGAGTTGATGTGATCTGGTTTACTGGGAAGTAGAATTAGACGAGTATCAACTGATTTTGTGAGTTTTCCTTGAGTCAATTTCTTGATTCAAATGTATACATGGTGTCCCAGAAAGCATGGCAATCATTTGTAAGAACTAAAAACTTCCTTAAATCAGATATTTCAATTTACGAAGATTGATACGATCGTTTTATTAAACGCTCGTTTTTAAAAACAATCGTTTTTATAAAATTCGTCGTTTCGTTAATGACGAACCTTCGCTAACGATCGTTAACGACCAACCTTCGTTAACGATAACCCTACTTTAACTATCATTAACGACAACCCTTCGTTAACGGTCGTTAACGACGACCCTTAGTTAACGGTCGTTAGCGACGACCCTTTGTTAATGATCGTTAACAACGAACCTTTGTTAATAAATGTCAAGAATTTTTTTATTCAAAAATTATCGTTTTTTTAAAAAATTGTTTAAAAACGGTCACAAATCGTTTTTAAAAACGATTGTTTTCAAAAACGATCCTTATTCGTTTTCTAAAAGTTCAAAACGAGTGTGTCGTTTTTAAAAACGATCGTTTTTTCCCGAAAATGAAACGATCGTTTTTGAAAAGGATTGAAAAACGAAACAAAAAAGATCGTTTTCAAACATGATTAACAACCCTATGTTTATATGTCAATCACAATATTTTAATTCCCATGTTTACTGGGACACCCTGCTTAGTGTTGAGAGTTTACCTGCTCCTGATTTCTGTTTGATATTGTTTGATATTTCCTCTTCAGCTTCAATCCCTTCTTCTCCTTCGTCAGTTACAGCCTTAGATCAAAGGTTTTTGGTCATATTTAATATTTACACAGATGCTTCCAGTTATTCCTTCCATAAAAGGACTGGCCTTGAAATTTAAAGAGGGTAACACTCCAAGCCGACTTTTAACCAGCTGGAGCTATCTGTGCAGTACAAATACCTACAGACTATATTAGACGAACCGGGACAGTACAGTCAATAAATGAATGATCTTATTCAAAATGGTACTTCTGGAGTAAAAAAGTCTTCAAATCACTATTATTTAATATTGATCTGGGAACTGCAATTAAAAAATACATCTACAGTCCCTTGAAAATGATTTAATATCATAATATGACCTGTGCTAGATCAATCCTGCTGTCTAGGCTATATTGTATGATTTAATATCATAATATGACCTGTTCTAGATCAATCCTACTGTCTAGGCTATATTGTATGATTTAATATCATAATATGACCTGTTCTAGATCAATCCTGCTGTCTAGGCTTTATTGTATGATTTAATAACATAATATGACCTGTGCTAGATCAATCCTGCTGTCTAGGCTGTATTGTATGATTTAATATCATAATATGACCTGTGCTAGATCAATCCTGCTGTCTAGGCTGTATTGTATGATTTAATATCATAATATGACCTGTGCTAGATCAATCCTGCTGTCTAGGCTGTATTGTTTGCCTGACATAAGCATACCTCGAACTCGCCTTCGTGTTGCTGAAACAGAACAGTTAGTTGCCAGGTATAGATTAAAGTTTATAATATTACAGTTAGTTGCCAGGTATAGATTAAAGTTTATAATATTACAGTTAGTTGCCAGGTATAAAGTAAAATTTATAATATAACATGCACTACGATACTTAGCACTACAACAGATTTATCAACTGTCCGTATAAAATCAATGAAGGATAAAATGAAGCATGCATGATTATTATACAGGGTGTCCTAGGAAACACATGACAGTAGAAAGATGACTAGAAAGTTGTATTAGAACTTTGAATTTATTTGTGACATTCACTCGTCTACTTACTTTTACATACGTATGACTCTTGAAACAATAACCACAAAATTCGCCTAGTCCTGGCATTTTCAAAATGTGAACTGCCTTTTTTGACCTGTCAATGTTACCGGAATTTAAAGAATTTTGTTTAGATTTCACTTTTATTACATAAAACCAAAATTGTCGAAATCTGAACGAAATTCTTCATTGCTCAGGTAATATTGAAAGCACAAAAAAGCAGACCACATTTTTGAAATGCCAAGACTTGGGGTATTTTGTGATTAATAACTCCAGAATTTTACATATAAAATTTGGTTTACGAATAAATGCCGCAAATTATTTCAAAGATTAAAGAAACCTTACATTGTTTTGGTGGGACACCTTGTATATTGTGTGTATATTATGCCTACCTATAGCTGGTGGTATCCTAGGCCCCCATATTGATATGGATCTGGGCTGCTGGGGATAATACCCCATGTCCTCGGGCACAGCTCTCAACATTGACCGGCCTAGTGGGACCAATATAGAATCAGTTTCCCCTCGTTTTAATTCAACCAATTCACATTTAAATTAGTGGAGGGGTTTAGTGCGTCATGCATATTTTATAATAATTGTGGACCATTCAAAAGCAGTGTTTTCTGGGGGAATTTTGTTGATGTCAAATAAGCTGGAATTTTGGAAAAGTTCAGAACATATTTACCTTTTTCAAATGTGACTATTTCGTTAAAATTTTTATAACACATAGTTGGATAAAATACTTTAAAAAATTAACTATTGGACAGTTGGCATGCTATACTATAATTGTATAAGATTATGCAGATAGGGGTGAACTCTGTAACCCCTGGATACACTGCCGACTGCAAGAAAAAGATTGATGTAGAAGAGGCGGTATTCTGAGATGAACTTACAAGAATCAAGAATTCTTTTTTTGAAAATATCCACTCCTTTCCTAACTTTTCTTATCCCATTTGTCATTATTAATGCGGAATTCAGATAAATTATCCTCAGAATTTTCAAACCCCGCTTACCAGTGAATTATTTTTCTAACCTATAAGAATATTGAACCATGAATATATGTTTGAAGCTGAACCTTCCACCAGTGGTTGAGCCAGACATTCCTGACAAAGCTGAAAACTGCAAATACATCTGATATCTTCAAATGTATGATCAGCAAAAAAGAAGATACAAGTCAGAGAAAAATTCACTGCGCTTTTAAAAATTTTGATCAAAATTTTTAATTTTAAAATGTTTTGGTAATATCTGATATGATTATTACTGGAGTAAAATACATGATTTAATTTGATTTCAATACTCTTGATGTAAGTACCGGTGAAACCAGAATCTGGTCAAAGAAGTTTTCTTGAATGTGCTTTGTCAATAGTTATTAGTCAAATACCAAAGCAATAGAGGCAAATGGATATATGTGATATGATTAATTTATATTAAGCGCATGCAAATTGAAGGGTCTGCGATGAATAGAAAGCTGGTAACAACTAATTAAATTCTTAAACTTGTATGATTAACACAAAGCGTAGGGTTGGGGGAAGTAAACAAAGGATTTATTCAGTAGATGTTTAATTTTAGTTTTGATTAGCTTAAATGGTTAACATGCTTTATATTTCAAATTTGTAAAGGGACTGTAAAGCGTAATTTCAAGGGACAAAGATGGCAAAGCCCGATTAAAAACGGTACTCTTGTCAACACCATTTCTTGCATATAAGAAGTAATGGAGAAACTCACAGAAATAAACACTTTTCAAGTCAAAAAAACTTCGGTATCTTCCACATTTTATCAGATTGAGGTTTCACACGCACCTCTGCCACTACAGTAAAAGTAATTTCAACATATATGAAGCATAAAGCCTGACCGCGTCAACCTTGTTGCACCGGCTAGTCCTGATGATTGTCTGCTTGATAAAGCCAATGTTCGTGCAGTACAGTACAAACTGGGACTGGAAAGGTTGACCCGACTCGGAAATTCAAATATACTACGGCGGCCCGTGTTCAAGGGTACCGTTGTAAATTTCGGATTGCTATCTTTGCATGGAGGGTGCCTTGAAATTACGCTCTAAACTAAGAAAAAGTACTGCCATGCATTTGAACAGCTTAATATCAGTTTAGGAATTGTATTTTAGAACTGCGAATGTTAAGAGTAATATTACTCACCCTGGACTAACCAGGGTGAGATGAGTTTGATTTTCTTTAATTTGAGAAATTTTTAAATATAAAGCTTTATAATTATTCCTTTCACATTTAAGAAGGATTTGGCAAGAATATGTAAACAACTTAAAAGGGAGTGTTCGCGAAAAATGAAGGGGGGTATAGGCTTTATGCGATAAAAAAGCGCTTTTGATCGGTACAAATCTTACTTCTATCTGTTGCGTCTATAAGGAGAAAATTGTTAAAAACGTCTCACCGAATAACTTAGCACCCATTCAAATTCAGAAAATTGCAACATACGACTTAGACCGTAAAAAATCAATTTAATTTCAAACAAATCATTCAGATAGTACAACCTATAGTCATCGATTATCTTTATTTGTATATAGTTCATATTTTATAATTTTTTATATTTTTAGAAAACGCATTTCGAAAAATGTGAGTCATGGTCTTAGAGAAATAATCAAATTAAAAACAAATTGATTAAAAAATATTATAAAATAAAAACTATATACAAATGTGGAGAAAGATAATCGATGACTATAGGTTGTAATATCTGAATGATTTGTTTAAAATTAAATTGATGTTTTACGGTCTAAGTCGTATGTTGCAATTTTCTCAATTTGCATGGCCGCTGAGTTATTCGGTATGAGACGTCTTTAACGAGTTTCTCCTTATAGCTACGCAAATGATATAAGTAAGATTAGTAGTGATCAAAAGCGCTTTTTTATCGCATTTAGCCTATACCCCCTTCATTTTTCGCGACACTCCCTTTAATTGTATAAACATATTAAAGGGAGTGCTCCACCATTAAGAGATGAAAACAGGGATATATATTTTTTTTTAAATCAACACCCCCATTTATAAAATCAGTTTTTACCCTAAAGTTTGCTTATCGCTGAAAAAAAACTTGGTTAAAAGTATCAAAAAGGATGTTAACAAACTTTCCTTTTGAAGCTCATTCATTTCCCTGATCTTTAAAATTTTAAAAATATACACCCTTTCATCACTGAGTTTCTGACTTGTCTTAAAGCAACCTAACAAGTATATATATTGGTGCACTGTATTAACTAAAGTTTTAATAATACAACTTTAAAATAATGTTGAAAATTGGTAATAAAAAACTATCTTTTGTAATATATAAATTAAGAAATGAAGGTAAACAATTAAGTCAATTACTGCAATATATATTGCAGGGGATGCCAATATTTCGCGAAATTGTATTTTAAAAGATAACTTTTTTGCATGCTTATTCTGGACACTGGACAGATGTATAAAGTGTTAGATTGCTTTAACGTGGTCCGACCTAATTCCAAATATATAAATATTCTATTCTATAAAATGTTACTTACAGTTGAAATGAATATCCTTCTGCATACTCTTCAGTTTTCGGGAGAAATCAATTACAACCTGAAAAAAATATTATTTTTCATACTTCATTTTTGAATTACTCTAATTTTTTTAAGCGGTGCTTGTCTCATCAAACGAGACATCAATAATCTTCTTTTTGAAAGATAATTATTTTCAACTGTGGTACCTCTAAAGGGTGATTTGTGCATTTCTGCATCACAGACAGTATGGAGAAAATTATCAAAATTAAACCCTTTGAAGCTAGGACAACGACTTTATCCTTTACAGAATTGATCAAATAAAGGTTTAAAGTGTATTTTGGCCCCTCTTGAGAGGTCGTTTGAAATTGCAATGTTACCCCTTAAACCTTTATCTAGCTTGAAAGGGATAAGTTTCTAGCTTGAAAGGGATAAGTTTCTAACATTCAAAGGGATAAGTTTCTAGCTTGAAAGGGATAAGTTTCTAGCTTAAAAGGGATAAGTTTCTAGCTTGAAAGGGATAAGTTTCTAGCTTGAAAAGGATAAATTTCTAGCTTAAAAGGGATAAGTTTCTAGCTTGAAAAGGATAAGTTTCTAGTTTAAAAGGGATAAGTTTCTAGCTTGAAAGGGATAAGTTTCTAACTAGAAAAGGATAAGTTTCTAGCTTGAAAGGGATAAGTTTCTAGCTTGAAAGGGATAATTTTCTAGCTTGAAAGGGATAAGTTTCTAGCTTGGAAGGGATAAGTTTCTAACTTGAAAGGTAAAGTTTCTAGCTCGAAATGGATAAGTTTCTAGCTGGAAAGGGATAAGTTTCTACCTTAAAAGGGGTAAGTTTCTAGCTTGAAAGGTATAAATTTTTAGCTTGAAAGAGATAAGTTTCTTGCTTGAAAGGGATAAGTTTCTAGCTTGAAAGGGATAAGTTTCTAGCTTGAAAGGGATAAGTTTTTGCTTTGTCTCTACAGCATAAAACCCTAAGTCCCTTTTATATAGAGAACCCACAATAAAAAAACAGCCAATTTTTAGCCAGAAAAATATGGATATCTCATTCGTCGTTGATCAAACAAAGGTTTAAAGGGTACAGTGGTGGACACTGGACAGTGAAAGAGACACGCTACTCCATAAATTAAAAACAATACATATAGAACACTAGCTGTGTTCTTTTCAAGATTTACGGGGTTTTCGTTCAAAGGAGTTACGGGCATGCCACGTTGAATTACAAGACAGAGAGAGGGCATTCGTGTAATTCCTTTGGGCTTCTGCCTCAGGGTTATTGTGAACGAAAAACCCCTAACTCTTAAAAAGATGATATCTAGTGTTCTATTTGATTGTTATTAATCTATGAGCTCCTCAATGTGGATAGTTACTTAAAAAGACGATATCTAGGGTTCTATTTGATTGTTATTAATCTATGAGCTCCTCAATGTGGAGAGTTACTTAAAAAGACGACATCTAGTGTTCTATTTGGATTGTTATTAATCTATGCGCTCCTCAATGTGGAGAGTTACTTAAAAAGACGACATCTAGTGTTCTATTTGGATTGTTATTAATCTATGAGCTCCTCAATGTGGAGAGTTACTTGAAAAGATGATTTCTAGTGTTCTATTTGGATTGTTATTAATCTATGAGCTCCACAATGTGGATAGTTACTTAAATTTACGTTTTTTACGCAAAATAATTATTTATAGTTATTAATAATTATCATAGTGATGGTAATACTTAATGTTGAATGTGAAACATGATAAAACAAAAATTTGAAAAGGATATAATGGCAGTGTGATCCAAAGGTTGCAAACTCTCACGCAGTTACCTGTTTAAAACTAAGCTTAAATCAGAGTTCTAAAAAGTTTAAAAATAACATGTCATAGTCCTTAGAGAAAAAAATCTTAAGTTAGATAATGAGACTTCAAAGTCGACCCAGTCTGGAAAACTTATCGAACTTTTTCTAACCTCGTTGTTGTCGAAAAGTGCAGCAAAGGATCCGTCGACGATCTTAGGTGACATTGGAGAATTAGGTCCAATATTCGCCAGGAGGAGAGAGGTTCCAAAACTCTCATTCTTCTCTTTGATCTCTAGAAAATGCATGTTGAAATTGAGCAAAAAAATTCCCAGAATTTGTAAAGACTAGGCTTTTAGTTTTAGTACGCTTCGTGCACATCTTCTATTTAAATTGTTAATTGTGACTCTGTGTGTGAGCATGTTCTCTTTCTTTGTACAATATAAAAGTTTATAAAATTCTGAGCATCCACAAAGTGAGGCTCACACAAAATTTGGCCCCAATCGGTTCAGCCGTTTTGAATTTTATTGGATACAAGTGGACAAGCAAACAAAGTATATATATATATATATATATATAACATTCCTGTTATATTCTAAAACCAAATGCAATGTATTCTGTTCATAATCTTGATAATTCTAAAATTGACAATACTTTGTTGGGTTTGTTAACCTTAACGAGAGAGTATCAAATTTTAATCAGTGTTTTCGTGGATTTCACTAAATTTGGAATAAATAGCTTCAAAAATAGCATTATTTCATAATTTAAATACAGTTTAACTGCACATCAAATTTTGGAATAGGCGGACTAGTGTTGTATCCTAACATCGTCCAATAGATGAATCAGAGCAAAATCTGCTTTTTACACAAACATATTTGTCTTAACAAGTTGATATTTAAGCTATAGGTAATCACTGATTACCTGTATTACAACATCAAATGCCTATAAAATTGCCTTAACGTTATCTATTCCACGGGACCAAGTGTATACAGTGTACAATGTACATGCATTGCATTAAAAAAAATCGAACTCTGAAAAAATATCGAATTTTGAAAAAAGATCAAAATAGAATTTACCTTTCAATGGAACCTTCTTCCTGCTTGAGATAATTCCATAGCTCTCCAGTACATCACTAGCAGTACTTCTTATTATACACCAGTCACGGGTAATATCCTAGACATCAGATATATATGTACACTTGAGATAATCCCATAGCTCTCCAGTACACTGCTAGCAGTACTTCTTATTATACACCAGTCACGGGTAATATCCTAGACATCAGATATATATGTACACTTGAGATAATCCCATAGCTCTCCAGTACACTGCTAGCAATACTTCTTATTATACACCAGTCACGGGTAATATCCTAGACATCAGATATATGTACACTTGAGATAATCCCATAGCTCTCCAGTACATCGCTAGCAGTACTTCTTATTATACACCAGTCACGGGTAATATCCTAGTCATCAGATATATTTACACTTTTATCTACACTTAATGAAAGCAAATGCAATGAAAGAAAATGAGAGGAAAATTGAAGGAAAATGAAACAAATAATATGTAAGCATAGTGTATGGAAAATGAAAGAAATATTAAAGGAATTATATGGAAAATGAACTAGAATGAGAGGAAAATAAAATAAAAGGAAAGTTAGAGGAAAATTGAAGGAAAATGAAAGGAAATAATATGAAACCAAACTATAGTGAATGGAAAATGAAAGGAATATTCAAGGAATTGAATTTAAAATGAAATAGAATGAGAGGAAAATGAAATGAAAGGAAAATAATTGGAAATAAATGGAAAATGAAGGGAAATAATGGGAAATGAGCGGAAAATAGAAGGAAAATGAAAAGGTAATAAGAGGAAAATGAAAGGAAAAATTAGAAGGGAATGAAAGAGATATGAAAGGGAAATGCGCTGAATATAAATGGAAAATGAAAGAAAAAAAGGAATGCAAGGAAAATAAAAGCGAATGAGAGAGTACCTGAACTGTGGTTTTAGGACTAGTGAGTGTAAATCTGATTACATATTGTCCTTTCAGATTACAGGGGACAGCGTGCATCTTCCCACTAAACATATTATATTCTATCCCATTCTGAGCAATATTATTAACATTGTTCATCCCTACTCTTTAACTTTTTTTTACTGTTTAATCGGTTAATAATGCTGCTTAAAGAATGGGTTAAAACTACTTATTTACATATAGCGAAATTTTCATCGTTAATAGTAAACAAACAGTTAAATTACAATACTTTCATCCAATTTAATTATAATGCAGATTGTTCTATAGTTTTTCTTGGATTTGCATTGAATATACAGCTAAGTTTAAAATTCTGAGACTTAAAAATTGATCAATATTGATAAAAATTGATGAATATTGATGAATGTTGATGAATATTGATGAATATTGATGAATATTGATGAATATTGATGAATATTGATGAATATTTATAAATATATATGAATATTGATGAATATTGATAAAAATTGATCAATATTGATAAATATTGATGAATATTCATGAATATTNCCGAATTTATATATAGATAGATACATGTTTAGACGCTAATTGTACTTAAAAATACACTGTATTCGCCTTCAAGCCCCCCCCCCTTAGAACTCCTGACAAATGTTCTCGTTCATGGCCTACCTCCCCTATTTTCTCTAAATTCTTTAGGTGGTATTTTTAAAAAATTCAGGTTATAGCTCAGTAGACTAGGTATTATCAGATTCAGAAGAAAACAGGTTTTGACTTTCTCAATTGGGTCTCCAATGAAATTAGGAGGAGAGGACTCCGATGAACTTATATTTACCTGGAGTTTAGTTTCTTGAGTAACTTCTCCGTCATTGAGTTTTCTCCCTTGAGTCTGAATACAACCATCCCCATATGCCGGGCTGCCGGTATCTCAAACCTTAACAGATTAGCTGGTCAGTAATAAAGTAATTTAGAAATTTAGTAATTTAGAAATTTAGTAATTTAGTAATTTAGAAATTTAGAAATTTAGTAATTTAGAAATTTAGAATTTTAGAAATTTAGTAATTTAGAAATTTAGAAATTTAAAAATTCAGTAATTTAGTAATTTAGTGATTTAGAAATCTAATAATTTAGAAAGTTAAAAATTTGGTAATTTAGAAATTTAGAGTTTTAGAAATTTAGTAATTTAGAAATTTAAAAATTTAAAAATTCAGAAATTTAGAAAGTTAGAAATTCAGAAATTCAGAAATTTAGAAATTTAGAAATTTAGAAATTTAGAAATTTAGAAATTTAGAAATTTAGAAATTTAGAAATTTGGAAATTTAGAAATTTAGAAATTTAGGAATTTAGAAATTTAGGAAGTAGTCATCTTTTCAACCCAATGTCGTAAACCTTAGCTATATCAAACTATGAATTCTTTTGGATCAAATAGTCTAAATTTGAAATTTCAAATGTTTAAACCGCCAAGTTGCAAAGATACAGGGATTAGGAAATTTGAGTAGGTGTCAAAGACTCAATTCCGTTAGAAATTTAGAAATTTGACAGCAAAGGCTAAAAATGTTATATGGGAGTTACATCTATTGTGCGTAAACTGAAGGACTTAAGGTTGTCTTTGACAAGAAATTATTAAGAAATTATTGCAAGAAAGTCCATGCCTAATAATGCCACTAGCTTTAGAGGGCGTTTCGCGCCCATCTTCTAAATTAATTGTGAACATGTTCTCTTTGTTATTGGATACAAACAGACAGACAAACACCAAAACAAACAGACAAACAAGCCAAATTTATATATAGATAAGACCAACAAATTTTACACATCATACTTTAACTTGTTACATTTACTAAAAATCACACTTTAATAATATACAAGGGATGGATAGGTCTATAAGATAGGAACAGAATATAGATATGCATAATCAGCTAATTAAGACAACAGCTAGAAAATAAAATCACTGATCGATTTTAAAATTTTGTTGAACTTAAAATTTAAAAATAAACTGTAATCTACCTGGAATCTGAGCGAACTGTAATCTACCTGGAATCTGAGCGAACCAATAAACTGTAATCTACCTGGAATCTGAGCGAACCAAAAAATAAACTGTTATCTACCTGGAATCTGAGCGAACCAATGCCTCAAACTTTTGCGCCATGCGGACATTTTCCCTGGAGCCAACTCAAAATAGAAATCTTGACAAAATATAAGAAAAAAGGAAACTAATTCATGGAACTTGTTTTAACACTAAAATGAAACTCTACAAGCAATGTGCCAGAGGGAATTTTACTTAAATTTTTATCTTTTCCTGGACAGAGCTTAAATGAATTTTTGAATTTTAATAGAAGAAAAAGGGGACTATATAGTATATATATCTATTTTTTAAATTTTCTTAAAGAATTCCCTCAGGGAATAATCAGTTAAAATTAAATAACAAAACATTGTTTCGGGATTTATTTAAAAATAAAACTAGTTTAAACAATTCTACTATTTTCTAATCTTTATACTAACTTTGCTTTGCATTTAATATAAGCAATTTTCTCATGACATGGATAAATTATTTTTCGTTGTTATGATGTAACATAGCTCCCTTTATAATATATATATATGTATATAT